AAGGCCGGGTTGTCCCATTTGCGCTGCGATTTCAGGAAACAGGCGAATGCGTTGCCGCCGATATGCACGCAGTTCGTGACGGCGTTCTCTACCCCCTTGGCTATGCTCGTGTGGGCGCCGACGTACATCTTCAGGCCAAGGGTGCGGGCCGCGAGAGGCATGGCATCGGCCTCTTTTTCTTCCTTGGTTTTGCGCTTGATTTTGCGTTTGGGTGTGATGGGCTGCGCTTCCGCGTCGCTCTCTCCTTGCTCTGCGTCCAAACCTGCCTCTGCTCGGGTCTTCGACGTGGCTTCGCGCTTGCGGCTGCTGTTCTTGGACGGTGTTTTGGTGGTTTCGAGCGCGATCTCGGTCTCCTCGTCGATTTCTACTGTGCCGTTTGACCTCACAGTCACCGCTGTAGAGACCTCGTCTTGCACCTCCACGTCGGTCTTCACGCGCTTCCTGCTCCGGGGGATCGTTCGAGTTGAAGACTCTTCGGTATGAGTAGATGGATGCGGCTTGCGCTTCTTGCTGATTTTCTGAGGTGCTTCTGTGCCTGGCATTTTATCATCGACGGTAACTCTGCGCCGGCCGGGCATTGTGACGCAGCGGAGCAATGGCTGGAACCGGGGTGGGAAGCAATAATAGTCGGCCAGCAAATGTTTATCGGAGTCATGGATCTTCCGTGATGGGTGTGATGGTGTCTTGAGTCGTCACGTCGATTTGTATTATCTATGTAATTGAGTATGGTGTATCCTTACCGAACCAGCCATGTCCGAGTCCAAACTTTACGCGTTTCGCTGTCGGGAAACGCGACCAAAATGCATCTTCTTTCTCTAGGGTCCGCCGTACAAATTATCCTCGACTAGACCATTGCCTGCGACCTGCAACATCTTCCAGTGCTGTATTTCCCTTCATTTCGAACTTTGCTCGAGTTCTGGTTTCGCTTCGTCTTCCCAGGCCCTCAGTTCTCGACAATGGCAGACAACGAGACCGCGGACGACACGCCTCAACTCTCGGACACGGACTCTAGCGATGCTGAATCCGAACCTGCGCCCGTCGAAAGTCTAGTCGCTGGCAGAGAGCGGCGTAAGACCGCCGGCAACCGCTATGACAGAGACATGGTCCTGGAGGAGGCTGGGGATGCCGACGAACCCGATGAAGTCACTTTACTCTTTGCGGACGATCAGGACGAAGAAGACGATGAGTTTAGGAGTAACGCCGATGATGAGGACGCAGATATGTCCTCTAGCGACGATGACGACCAAGGCCCCAACGCCGCGCCTGAAGATCTCGAGGGTGAGAAGGAGTTGCAAACGCAGGCGAAACAAGAGAGGGCGAAGAAGCGCAAGGCGGATCTGGCATTGACGAGCGTCGCGGGGGTGAGGAAGAAACTCAAGACCGATCCCACAAGGCCGGCCGGCGCATCTGCCCCCGCGAAACCCTCGAAGAAAAAGGAAAGAGTGACTTGGGTCCACGACGAGAATTCCGGCCGAAGTTCCCTGCGCAAGCAGACGATCGCTCACCGAGAAGAGACCATTGCTCGCCTAAAGGAAAGCGAAGCCCAGAGCAAGAAGTTGAAGGCGCTGAAAGAAAAGCGAGACAGGGAACGAGCAAAGGACGCACCCAGAGAACTCACTCAAGCCGACCGGTTGGCAGAGGCGGCCAAGGTCGAGCGTCAGAATGCTAAGAGCTTGAATCGATGGGAGGCCACGGAGAGGAAGAGGCAAGAAGAACAGGCCGCAAAGCTGGCAGCCTTGAAGAACAGAAAGCTGGATGGTCCCGTCGTTACCTGGCTGAGCCAGAAGGCCAAATGGGTTCGGCCGGATCCCAGCAAAATTGCGACCAAAGATGCTGCAGAGTTGACCGGGCCCAAAAAGCGTGGAAGGAAGTCGAAAGCAGAGCTCGAATTAATTGCCGCAGAGAAGGCGGCAGAGTCAACGGGCGTGGGCTTAACGGCGCCGGCGACGACGTCTATATTGGCTCCCCACAACCCTCCAGTTCAAGGCTCAGCGTCAGAAACGGTGCCCCCAGGAACGTTACCCTCAGAAACGTTACCCTCAGAAACGTTACCCTCAGAAACGTTACCCTCAGAAACAGTGCCCTCAGAAACAGTGCCCTCAGAAACAGTGCCCTCAGAAACAGTGCCCTCAGAAACAGTGCCCTCAGAAACAGTGCCCTCAGAAACAGTACCCTCGGAAGCAGTGCCCCCGGAAACGGTATCTATGCCTACAGCTGGCGCTGGAGCTTCGCAACCACAGGTTATGCTGCCGGCCCCAGATGAACTCCAGGAACCCCTGCTGGTGGGTATACATGAGTACGCCAATATGCAAGTGGACAGCAACGCCTCCCAGAGTAAGCCAGTCAGTCCCGCTCCACCAGAATCAGATGTGCAACGGGATACCGAGATGAAGCAAGTGACCCAACAGGGCATAGAGCAACCACTCGAAGCTTCATATGACCGTGTTGACTCGCAGACGGCGACGCCAGGTTCAGCTGTCCAGCCCGCACTATTAGAAACTCTCTCAAGCGAGGATGCGGAAGGCGTCGCGATCAAGACAGAGATACCGACAGAGCAGACTCAAACACCCGCGCTCACACCCGCACCTCTCGATCCCGGACAACTTGACCCGATGCACTTGATCACCCAACATATACCTGAATCCCAAACTCCCCAGATTGAGGAAGACACTACGCGAAACCTCGTTATCCTGGAGAAGTTCGATGAGCTCACCAGCGATGCTCGGCAGGAATACTCGTTGTTTTTCAACAAGAAGGCCACAGTGCGTGCAGGAAGAGCGGTGAAACAGAGTCAGGAACTATGCCTGATCACGGCTTTGCCTGTCCGGTATCGAGACCCTTCCACCGGCATCCCTTTTGCCAACGCGGTTGCGTACAAGAAGCTCCAAGAGCTGAAAGAGCACAAATACGCGTGGAGCAGCATGCTAGGCTGCTACGTCGGTCTGGAGAATGGCATCACAGCCCGTGGAGTGCCAGAAGGGTTCTGATGACCCTTCAAATGGTCTGATAGCATCAACGTAGGTCTTCCGATATCTTTGCATGAGAACAATGGCCGAGACAATGGCATCGGCCTGATTTGAAATTCCACATCTGTTCCACCGTATGTCCGATAGCGCAAACATCGTTGTGAAGTAGGCCATGCACGGCCATGGCAGATAACTAAGCTGTGAGGCTGAGGCTGTGTCAGGCAAAAGGGTGTCCGGGGTCACACAATCCATGAACCAAAGGAACTCTGTGCGTGAGCCTCCGTAACCAGTAAAGATAGGGGCGTATGCCCTGAACCATGCAGCATCAGACCATCACTCATCCCCCGTTGCATCCCCGTCACGCGTTGGCTAAATCCGGCCTAGGTGATCGATTGGGGGGCCGCTTGCGGGCGGACACATCCCCCCCTGATGCAGCCAGATGCCCCCCAATGCCAACTTTTGGTGTCGCTTAACTAGCCACAGCGCCCGGATAGATTGTCGCGGGACGCCCAGCCGCCTGGAACGGGGCAAAGACACGATCCACCTATCGTCATCTGTCGCAGGCGCAGTCTGGAATGCGAATTCAGTTGCGGTGTACCATAGTCAGCGCCCAACTCGACGCCTTTCCCTGCATCTCTCTGTTACATATATCTCTTAGCTGACCGCCGCTCTTAATGGGGGATGGATTCTCCCACACACAAAATATCCCATGGCAAACATTCAACGCCCAAAAAACTGAAGCGCCGGAGTGGTGACGGTGACTCAGTTTCTGCCCCGCGAGCATTCGCTCCCAGTGATAAGAAGGGCAAGCCGCAAGACATGGCGGCCAGCTTCTTGCAGTACTGGTGAGGCTCCAGCGCGGGTGTTGTTGATCTCAATGGAGCGCTGACGGAGCATCACAGCGCCATGTGCGAGAAGCAAATCATGACTCCGTGCAACTCGATCCTCTACTGCAGCGAGGCGTGAGTCGAACCAAACACGCCTGCCGCGCTCATGGAAACACTAATTCCTTTCAGATGCCGTCGCAAAGACGCTGCAAAGCCATTGTCGGCGTCCAATTTGTCTCTTGACTCCGCCTCACCGTCTTCTTCTCTTCCGTCTTCCCCGCGTCCGACGCTCCCACAGCGCTCCAGTGCGCGTCCAGAGTACCAGGACCCGTCGACGTCTCGGATACCTTGCGACCTCCATGACCACAAGTCAGATCTTGACCCCACTGAATGGAAGCCAAAATTACCACAGCGTGGAGCCTCGGCCAGTTCCGAGGCCTTTCGCTACCTGAGTCGCTTCCATCAGACTCAGGTTGGCAATGTGGACAATTTGGACCATGTCACCCGCGACCGTCCGACCGTGTTGCGACACAAGAGTACCTTGAGCATGTCAACTTTGACCCCGGGGACCACGACCCCCAGCCTGGCCAACACGCCTACCACCACTGCCTCGAGCGTCGACAGTCTGTACGAGTTCAACCTCCGGCCGTTGGCTCCGCGCACCAATCCGCTGTACAGCACCAGTGCTGGCTACTCGCGAGGTATTGACTTGGTTACACCACACATTCCCCCGCCGGCGGCGCCGGTGGATGTTGAGGTGGCGGGTTCTGCCGGAACTCAAGGTGGGATGGATCTTTGGGGGAAAAAGGTCGTCGTGCCAGGTGCAACGCCGAAGGGGGAAGGACTGGGTGTTTTATTCGGTCGAGACGGCTAGAACAATACTGTAGAGTGTCAACCTGAACGGGATTGAGGAAGCCATGGATCGTCTCACGCGCAAAAATCTAGTCTTCGTGAAACTAGTCTTCGTTATTCCTTTTCAATAGCCGCTCGATGCCCATGCTCAATACGAGCTGGATGAGAAATGATCTGTATGCTACATACGAGGTATTTTAGGCTGTTTCTGCTGCTCTCTCTGCTCTCTCTATCGTATATAACACGTGAAAAGTATATTGGCCACGTCCTACGAGTGGAGACATATCACGTAATCGCCTACTCTGTACTCAGTACTACGCGGGGAAGACATTGCAAAAAAGCCAAAAAGATAAATCGACGTCTACAGGATTCGAACCTGTGCCTCCGAAGAGAACACCTCAAACTGCAAGTAGCAGGGTGTCTGAGAAATCGTTAGATTCATGCAAATCGCAAGCTGTGAATGATTGCAGTGACTCACCGCCTTAACCGCTCGGCCAAAACGCCGTGGCCACCCTGGGGAGTTAGGGGACTGATTTTTGAAGTCTGTGGTGGAAGATTGAGCTATATACGTGGTGGCGGCGAGGTGTGGTGGTGTTTTGCTTTTTTTTGATAACACGTGACGCCCCGCCCTTGGCTGGGAAGGTTTGCCGAGAGACTAGGAAGGTTTGCCGAGGGCCTGCACGTGGGCCACGACGACGCAAGGCTGCACGGGATTCGAATGCGGTTCACGGTATCTCGCTTCATGGTGGTCTCCTCGCTTGAGAGGATCGACTACACGATACATTCACGACCCTGGCCCATGCCATACCAATGTTGCTGCGCCCGTGTAGATGGGTTTCCAGCAGCGTTCAACACCACTCTCCTCGGTCTCGCGTCCTTCAACCCTCTCTCGGTCTCGCGTCCGTCAACCCTTTCTCGGTCTCGCGTCCTTCAACACCACTCTCCTCGGTCTCGTCTCCTTCGACCCCCTCTCGGTCTCGCCTCCATCTACCCCCTCTCGGACGTCCGCCTCCCGTGCCTTCCGAACGACCGCCGCTGCGGTTCGAAGTGTCGACGTCGCCATGTCCACTCCCACCCGACGCTCGTCAGCACCACCGCCACCTTCCACCTGTCCCGCCCGCCAGCCGATGTACTCGATGAGTCTGCACTCCTGCCGCAACAGGAGGTCCTCTTCCCACGACTGTTCGTCTCCCGCGACGGGAGGGTCATGCCACGCAAGGTCACGGGGTAAACGGGGCGCCACCGAATCCAAGACGTACCGCAAGGGGTCGGGCAGCCGCGTCGTATCGGTCCTACGACACCCGTCAGCTCGAACACGATCGTCGAGGTGACGTACATGGGCATTTGGAACTCCGGCACCACGCAACGCGCGAGGCCCCACGTGTTCTCGTTGTTGATCATCTCCGTGAATCGCTCTGCCGCCCTCATCTCGAGTTCGTTGTCCCATCCTGCACGGCTGGCCGGATCGTCCCGGATGTACCGCATGTAATCGACCACGGTGTCCGAGAAGGAGGCAGCGTCGTCGACACCGTCCAGACCGTTGTAGCAAGCGATGTCGAGCCGGGCGTGGTCAAAGCCGTTCCCATCGACGGAGGGTTCGTCTCGTGAGTCCATGGTCGACACCAGGTACCTTGAAGGATCCGATCGATGCACGTGGCGATCCAAGGTCCACCGAAGCTTGGAGGGAGCAAAAGAGCAGAGCGAGAACAGCGACACGCGGCGTAGAAAAATTGCCGACAGGAGTCCGCGGCGCTGACCTGGTGCGGTTGTTTGATCACCCACGACGCGGCCGTCCGACAGCAAACCCCCCCACCGCCGTCCAGACGCTGAAACTGGAGGACCCAACGGGCGCGTGCGTGGCACGTCTCACGGCCTCCGTACCACCAGCACCTGCGAGGTGCCGCCCCCCCCCCTCTCCCGCGCGCGGATCACGCCTCCGCCGCCAGCGCCTTCAGCCACGCCTCGAACATGTCAAATTTCATCCTGCGTTTGCAGCCGCGGTCGCGATGCAGCGCCTCCAGCGTGCTCAGGACGCCACCAAGTCCGTCTAGTGCTCCCTCTGTGGTGGACGACGCGGGTGCGCCATCGTGCAGTGGTGGGCCGCCCGTCGCCTGCGGGGTCACGACGTACGGCTGCGGGCCATTCAGAAACGTGACCGCGTCTCGGACGTACCGATCGGTCCTGAAGTAAAAAGGTAACACGACGACCGCGGGCGAGATCCAACCGTGACCGCTGGCGATCCGATCCAGCCGCGTGATCGGCTCCATGCGTCTCCACGCCGCCTGGGACGCCGCCGTCCAGGCTTCGGGAACGTACAGCAAATCTGGATACATCTGTTTCGTCGGGCACCGGACGACCGTGTACACCTGGAACATCGTCAGCGACCTGACCCACCGAAACGGGAGCGGGAGGCTGTACCATGCCGTGACCTCGCTCGCAGCAGACGTCGTTGAGCGCCAACGCCACCGCAGCTGCCGCGGAGAGACAGCAGGGCCCCGTGCCGTGTTTGAGCCGTGAAAACGCCTTTTTGAAGACCAGGGCGCCGTCTTCCTCCCGACACCACGCGGCGTTCGGCAGGATATCCTCCACGAGCGGCTTGGTGGGCGCCATCTTCCTTCGATCGAATGAATTGCGTAGATGTGTGGGGGAGTGGAGGAGGAAGATCGTTCCGTGGGGAGGAGGTGAGATCTGTAAGATCTCTGCGGCCACGGTCCAGTTTGCCTGTCAATCAGGTCCACACGGTCTCCTGCTTTGTCCGCCTTGTCAGGATTGTTTGCGGCCAGGAGTTTGCACCCGTCCAGAACGTTCTCCGCGGGAGACCGCCGCCACTTCTTTGTTGCGTGCGGCACGATGTCTGCCACCACGTCCGCGGGCAGAGCGCTCGCCCTTATAAGTCACCTTCACCCGCGAGGGTCGTCCTGCCGAACAGACGCATCGCGAAGATGACCCCAGAGGCGGTGCAGCTGCGCCAGCTGCTGGACCACGTCAAGAAACACCTGCACACCAACGTCGCTCCCCGCGTCTGGGAAGGGAGATGTGCCTGGCTGCTCGAGTCGGCGCCGATCAACTGGGTCACCGCGGCCGAAGGGGCGACGGCGGACGGTGGGCTGCTCGTCGGCCAGACGGGCGACGCGGGCCTCCACCCGGACCCCTTCCAGCGCCTGCTCGCCGCGATCGACCACCCCGACGACGCCGGTCTGGTCCCGCTGGACATGAAGACGATCATGCCGATGAAGAGTCCCTCCTGGAGGGGCGACTGGCACTACTACGCCCTCCGCGTCCGAGCGTCCCAGCGATCGTGTTTCGCGTTCCTCGTCCAGAACCCGTCGGCGCCGGATCTGGCCGCGTTGGTCCCGCAATGCCTCCTGGACCGGGGCCGCGCGTCGACCGGCCACTACTTCGTCCAGACCATCGAGATGTCGCGGCGCGGCGACTTCGTGGAGCACTTCCCCATGGTCTGGGGTCCTTTCGTCCTGCCCACGTCGATGCTCGCACGGGCGCTGGGATCCCTCCAGCGGTACATCTTGCACGAGAGCGAGGAATGGTACGTCGCCGGGCACCTCCACAACTGACACGCAGGCCGCTGAGCAGCTACAGGGAAAACCCCTACAACGGCATCACCTTCACCCCTCCGTCGCGTCCCCGGCTCCAGTCGGCCGCCCTCCTCCTGCCGTCGGCGACGTCGTCCTTGAACGATTTTCCGAAGATCAGATGGCTCTACCACGCCTTCGAGGCTCATTCCGACACGTACAAAATCGGTCGGCTCCAGATCCGCCCCGGCCTGGGTGATTTCAAGATCGTCCGGTGTCCGACGCAGGCGCGGTCTCGTCCGGTCCCGCCGGCGGTCGTCGAGTTCAAGGCGTCGATGGCCACCATCGACGGCCAGGGCCACATCCTCCACGTGCCGGCGGGGCGGCTGAAGGCTGGCCGACGACGGGCGACGAGAAAACCCTTCTTCAGCGCCCTCGCCAGCTGGGACTGGCTCCTCAGCACGGTGGTGGGCAAGAAACTCGCCCTGTTCGTGTGTCGTGACGACCTTCCAGAGCACTGGTTTCAGGACCCCGCCTCCGTGGGTGACGGCGTGCACTGGACCCTGGGCACGTCCAAGCTGAGAGACTACACCGTGTCCTGGGACCCGGACGACGTGGCGCAGACGGTCACCGACATGGCACGGATCCTGGACGCCCGCTTGTCGCGGACCGGTTCGCTGACCGCCTCTGTGTCGAGGGACTTCCACGTCACGTCGGTCAGCGAGGCCAAGGCGATCATGGAGGACGCGGGGGACGACACGGACGAGGGCGACGACACGGACGAGGGGGAACCCGCGACGGCGGCGGCCGAACCCCCGCCCCGGGGTACCACGACACGGTGGTCTCGTCGGCAGTATGAAGCGGCGCAAGGCCAGTGGCTGGATCGGCTCTGCGATCAGAGGTGAGTCTGGGACACTGGCGACCTCGGTCTGGTCCCGTCGCTGACACGTGTGGCAGGGGATACGGCAGGGTCTACGAACTGGCCACTCACCCCTCGGGAACCCACGCGTTCGCGGGTGGCCGTCGCGAGACCCTCGACGAGAGCTTCTTCCGGCTGCCGCCCCACGCGCGCCTGCTGTTCCTCAACTTTGCGCAGGTCTGCAGCATCGAGCAGGTCGGCATGGGCGACCGTCGTCGCGCGGTCCAGTTCATGCACGCCACGCACGGCTTGAGCCCGTCGATCTACGTCCTGAGTCCGTACCCGTCCGAGTTCGAGGGGCGCAACCTCTATCGCTACGTCGTCCCCTCGACGACCGTCGCGACCAACGACGAACGCCGCGAGGCCAACCGAGCCGCCGTCGATCGCGGGTGGAACGTGGGGTCCAGGAACGCGCGACCGGTGCTCGACCCACAGCGGGACTTTGTCCAGGATTTCGCGGTCCGCGAGGACGACGTCGTCGACCGCCTGCGCCGCGTCTTCGAGGCGTGTCCCGTCCCGACCGCTGGCCCGTCCCGTACGTTGGACGGGGTCAACCCACGGGTCTACGTGAGCAGTCAGTGTGAGGCGCTGCGGCAGTACATTCGCTTGGCGAACGGGGAGGTCGAGTTTCTCAAGACGTGGGACAGTGATTGATGGTGGAGTGGCGGGACATTTCAGGTTTCGGTGTCGGTTTCCGTACTCGTTGTTTTTAGAGAGAGACCTTGCCACCGGTGGTGTATCGTGTCGTGTCGTCGGTCCTCTCACGCGAAGAGACCACCACGAAGCTACAAACCGTGGTCGGGGCTCGCGCCTTCCGTAGCCCAAATCCAATCACGTCGTCGTCGTCGTCGGAGCCCCCAATTTTGAGGTCGAAAGTTCTCGGCTTGGGCCAGGACGAATGGTTGTCCGCTCTGATCAGGATGTTGCAAAGGCTTTTCATGGAGAGCATCACGTCGCATCCGCCCCGTCGCGACACCAACACGTCCGTGGGTCTGTTACATCCTCCTGTTTCTTCCGTCCCTCTTCCTCCTTCTTCTGCGCCACCTCTTGCTTTC